CGCCCCCGTCTACTGCCTCCACCCCGGCCGCTGCCTCGAAGGAGAGCCTTCTGGCAAGTGCGCCGCTTTTTGGGACCATGGAGAAGGTACGCCTCTGCCCTGCCTTTTTCTCTCTATCTCCCTTTTTCCATCCCTCCCTCCTCTCCTTCTCCTCATGCCGCTTCGATCCCAGGGAAGGCATCTCTCACACGTCATTTTCCTCCATTCTTTTCCCGGTTTTCCTCCTTTTCTCCTCCTTCCCAGGCGCTAAAAAATGAAGGCGCGGCCCTGGCCAAGAAGATCAATGGGAACTATCGCTTTGTGGTCGACGACGGGAATTGGGTGCTGGATCTGAAGGTAATTGCCCGTCTGATCCCTTTGGCCGCCTTCATTGTTTTTCGCGCTAGGGCTCAGCGTTTAGAGGGAGCTTGGTACTCAGACCTGGTGGAGCTAGCTGTCTTGTCATCCTTAACTTATTTGGTGTGCGGCGCATCTTTGGACACATTTTCTCCGCATCCCCCCCCCCCTACATCTTCTCTCTTCGTCCGTCTGCTCTAGCACATTTAATGTCTCTACTTTGCTCTCGTAATTCATGGCGCTACGCCTTCTGTTGCTAAATTTCGCTCTCTCCTTTCCGGCCTTTACCTCTTTTTGTTAGGGCGCGTCTCCATCCCTGCGTATCGGAGACAAAGATAGTCCCGTAGACGTTACGTTGCGTGTAAGCGACGCTGATTTTGTGCAAATCGTCACAGGGAAACTCAACAGCCAGCAGGTAGGACGCAAACTTGCGAAAATGGTTTTTATGCTTTTTTCTTAGAACTTTTGCTATTCTGATTCATCCCCCCCCTTTAATGGCGGTATATTTATCTGGGGTCTTGATATTTCTCCTCAATCTTCATTTTCTTCTGTGTCTCCCCCTTTTAAAAAAAAATCACATCAGGCCTTCATGAAAGGAAAATTAAAGATCAAGGGAAACATGGGTATGGCTATGAAGTTAGAGAGCATCCTCAAGCTAGCTCGTACGAAAGCTAAACTTTGATAGGGTTATTAAGAAGAAATGAGAGATGCATGTCATATATATGTAACTGGGTCGACACAAAGGGGGCATGGTGTGCTGTAAGATCGCCGTGCGGGCAGGCGCCATGGTGCCCAAAGGGGGTTCTTCAAGAGGAACACAGAGGGAATAAACAAAGGCAAAGTATTGAGAAATGTCGGGGATTAATTTGTTGGGAGGACAAAAGTAAAGACGCTATTATCAATTAATGAGTCGTGGCCGATCAAACGCGCACAATGCACATGCATGTGCACGTTCCCTCCCATCTGTGGATTTCACAACGGAAATTTGAATTTTCTGAAAACCGTTAACTGTTCGAAAAGCCCGCATGACTGCCATGTGTGTGCCTCGTCAAGCGCCTAAAAGTGGTGCGCATAATAATATTATGGTGAATCTATCAGGTTAACTTTATTATATGCATTCATTGCTATATCATTACATTAACCCCTCATTTCCGCTGGAAAGGTGGAGTTAAACAGAGAATAAGGGGAAAGGTCCTGGTCCGTCGTATGAGATGGCGCAGGCAAAAAGCGAGAGGCATGGAGGGAACCGAGATTGGGGGATGACAAAACCTCGTCGATGCCCTGTAAAGTCGAGGTGCCCTTTTTCTCCTTAAGACTTTCTTGTTTATGTTTCATGGATGGAATATTAAACGTGATGATTAACTCTACGGCCTGGGCTCTTACTTCATGAGCTTGCAGAGATTTACTTTTACAGGGGTGCGAGTGAGTCCTCCCGCAAAAGCAGGTGATATAGATAAATGACGTGGGCTCGATATTTTTACCCATGTTAAATCCCTTTTTACACCCTTATAAGTCACAGAAGCCACGTCTTCAATCGAATAACATCCATATATCGTAGTGCTGCTCCCCAAGAGCTTCAAAGGATTTGATTGACTGAAGGGATGGGCAACAAGCTGGATACCCCCCACCATGCCTCCTCGACTTCCCCATCCTCTCCACAAGCCTCTGCTAAGAATTTCACTGGCTCTTTTCGCCCTGGCTTTTCGCCTCGGTCCTCGCCGGCTCCCTCCCCAACGAACGACACTAAAGGCGGCGACTCTTCGAGGACGCCGAAGAAGCCCATGGCCCTTTCTCCCACTACGATGTCTATAGCATCGGGTGCAGGCAGGACAGGAGCTGCAGCCAAAGTCGTCAGTCCCGCAGTGTTGTTGCGCTCACTGGACTCTGAGGGAGAGAGCCCCCGAGGGGAAGGAGAAGGAGTTGACTGCGAGGTCACCGATATCCTGCGTCGGTACTCGCACGTGGGAGGCCGAGCTGTGTCAATAAAGGATTTCGACCTCCTAAAAGTACGTACTTAAGACCTTGGACGGAAGATGTGCCGGATAACTTAGGCTCGAACTTGCCTCCTGAACGCGATGTCAGCCCCCACACTGCACTGCCTATGGTTGGATTTCCCCCTATTCCACCTTACTTGACCCCATCCTCTCTCAATTTCATCTCTTTTTGCAGGTCCTTGGCAAGGGCAGTTTTGGAAAGGTGATGCTGGTCCGTTTCAAGGGCTCACGGGAGCTGTACGCAATGAAAACCTTGCGAAAAGAGGCCTTGATTCGCCGCAGCCAGCTCGCCCATACCTCGACAGAGCGTTATATCCTGCAGCACATCCACCACCCTTTTTTGATGCGGCTCTCCTATGCCTTCCAGACGAAGCAGAAACTGTACATGGTAATGCAGGGCAGACGAAGGGGAAAAGAAAGGGCTACAGAGAGGACGGAGTGGGGGATTCCGGGTATTGGAGGCACGGAGGTTCCTGGTGTTCCCTCGGTCCTTTCTCCTATTTATGGCCGGTTTCACAGGACTTTTTTTCAATAATCAGTTTTTAGCCACCCGGGTCTTTATTCCAAGGCGGGTCTTCTCCTTCCATTACTCTCACCATTCTCTGGTAGCGGCCTTCTGTCTCGTTCCCTGACTGACCTTCTTACTGCTCTTGTCCTTCCTTTCCGCCTTCCCAGGTGGTGGACTACATGGCCGGAGGAGAGCTTTTCTTCTGGTTGAAAAAGGGAAAATTCGGGCAGACTCGCGCCAAATTGTACGCGGCGGAAATCCTGTGCGCTCTGGAGGCCCTCCACAAACACAACGTTGTGTATCGGTAGGAAGGAGGGCGACAGCCATGAAAAATAAGGCCCCCCAACCTTCGCCGCCACTTACACCCGTTCTACTTGTCTCCCTGCCTCTCTTTCTAGGGATCTGAAACCGGAGAACATCCTTTTGGACGCCGACGGGCACATTCGGCTCACGGACTTCGGCCTCTGCAAAGCCAACGTCACGGGCTATGGGGTCGATGGCGGGGCGCACACGTTCTGCGGCACCCCCGAGGTGAGGATGCTAGCAGTTATTCTCGTTGGCTTGCTTGCCTTGGTTCTGGTCGGCTTCATATGTGGCAAAGATGTTAGGATTGTCTGTGACTTCTTGAGGAAGGATCTTTTCCCTCCTTCCCCTCCCACGCTCTTCGGCTTCCGTCTTTGGGCCTT